GGAGACATCGATGATTCGTCTGCGATAACGGGCGAAACGGATCATCTGTGCTTTGGAGTGTATTCCTTTCCCCAATGTTTGTTTCTTTGTTTCTATTTGGGATGTGGTACGCATTCTGCTTCCATTACGTAGTGATTATTGAATGAGATGTGGCCTATACAATGACTTGCGAGGCCAACCAATGCATAGGTCAGTGTTATTATCTTCCGAGGTCCGGTGGGCGCCTATCAGGGATCGGGGCACACATATTTGGAAATTTGTCGACCCCCTGGGAGGTGGAGCTAGCTCATTGACAAGGTCATCGGAGTTAGGGATTTTGGGCGAGTTCGTGCAACTCCGCCCCTCTAGAGGGTGCTTGATACGACTCCCTCGGTTTTAAAAGGTTCCATTCCGAATTGCTGTTTTCTCTAGAGCACGCCATGCCTCTAGGGAAAAAATCTCGGAAAGTACGAAGAATACGACCTCCTTCCCCCCTCCCCCCCCACCTTCCCCATCCTGCCTACTACTCTCCCAGACTTTCCCAACTTCTATATATAATAGCACGTGTGAGACAGGAAAACCCGCGAGAAGTCAACAACTGCGGAAAAAGCAAGTCCCTCTCAGAAGGCAAATACCATCTCTCTCTCCCAACCAGGGCACATCATTGGTTGGAGATTTTGGCCAAATCCGTACGACCCCCTTTTCTTTGGAAAGTTGGCACAACCCTCCCCCCCCCCTTCCGGCTCTCTGTCCCTCCTCATCGAATTGAGCCTCTAGCTTGGGGTTCATATTACATAGGAAACAGGAAAATCACGAAAAGTCAACCACCACTTCTAGAAGGCCAGAAAGTAATACGACCCCCCATCCCCTCCCAACAATGAGCAAGTACGACCCCCCCCTTTACAACGTCCGTGAAGCGAGAAAAATCAACTATCAAAATAAATTTTTCTCAGCCCAAATACGACCCCCCCCTGTTGGGGATTCCCCAACAACGATGTGCCCTGCTCCCACATGGAGCGAATGCGGCCTCCCCTTATAGTGTCCTTGAAAAGAAAAAAATTAATTGTCAAAGAAATTTTGACCCCAGACCGCGATGTGCGTGCCACTCGTCACAACAGCACCTCCGTCGCTGATTTCCCCTTTATAAAAAAATGAAAAGTATCACTAGTGAGTGCATAAACGTGAAGTATCATATCGTTCGTTTCCGGGCCCTTGAAGGAATGTGCACGTATGCACATATGCCCCCTAAATCAAACAGAAATGCATCACAACAACAAATCGCAAGCAACACTCGTTCTTCGATAAATTGCACACAATTGTAGGAATAGCATAATGATTAGCCCCGATTTAGTCCAGATCGATTTCCGTCTGGATAGGCATGTTCCGAATGGTTCCAGCTGGTTCGGACTTTGGCACGTCGATGATCAGCTGACCGCTGTCTGTAAGAGTAGATCGTATTTGCTCGAGATTGACGTCTTCTGGTAGGGTCCATTGTTGAAGGAATGACCTGAACGATATAAGAGTCACAGGAACTCTTCCCAGCGCAAGTGTCGCAGGAAATCAGGACTATAAGACCTACCTGGCACTATATGACGACCCTTCTTGGAATTCTTGTTCTCCTGTAACGGTTAGATTCCTACCGTCTATTGTCACTTTCAGCTCATCTGGTTTGAATTTCGAGACGTTCAGTGAGAACGATAACTTTGAGTCATCTTGGGTAGCCTAGAATTACTCGTTCTCTGCAGGGCATAAACAACAGGGCGCTAGTAACTTTGGGAGGGGGCATTAGAGGACTCCCTGAGCAAAAATGGCACTGACTTTAGATTCAGTTAATTCAGATTTGTATCCATTCAAGGTGAGCGGATTTGGTGACTACCCTGAGGTACTACGCACGATCGGCGATCGAATCTTGGACCGGCTCCCGCCCAGGCCAGCCAAGTCTCCCATCCAACCGTGCGAGTGAATTAAATCCTGATGAGAATAGAGCCACAGTATTTGAAATTGCCCTACTCAATCCGACGCTCCCTATCACTTATCTATATGCAGAAATATTAATTCTACTGCTAAAACTCTAGTCTCGCCCAAAGGGTCCTTCAAATGTCCCCTTCCCAAGATTATTCTTTGAACGAAAATTTCGAGCAAAATTATTAATTAGATACCTGTTTCGGATCCGTTCCTACCACTGTTTTCTCCTGGTCGGAACATGAGCACGAACTCGTAGCTGTTTCGAATTGTTCAATCTCCCCGAAGATGTCGTCAAGAACACAAGGCAAAATCGCCGTCTCCGTAGTCCATGGTAGAATACAAACAGACATTGTCGATTGCTCAGAAGACTGGGCTCAACAGGCTTCGGTAGTCTGTATTGGTGACGCTTATATACGAGCCGGAGCAATTCTTCCAGAACCTCCGTGAACCTTCTCGCCCCGCCTCTGTCCCTTGTCGCGCCATCGATGAGTCAGCGGTCTGTGGTGATCTTTGCGAAAGAGGCGCGCTGACAATGCTGGGCGCAATTTGGGTTTATGGGGCACTAAATGGAACTCAGCAAAGCAAAATGCCTCCCTCCCCTCCAAGCCAAACACCAGCCGAAACTGTTAGTAAAGAAAGCATGTCCCAGAAGCTCCTGGAAAGTCACTGATAAGGTGCATGAGACATCTAGTTGAGTGCCTGCTGATACCTACCGTTCGTTCTACTCGTACTTAGAACTAGAACAAGAATTAGTTCCAGCAGTTAAGTAGTAAGAACTTGAATTGGGAGTATCCACAGCTCTTAGGCCATGGATACTCAATTTCTTACAGCCTAAGAGAATAAGATACTGCGCAGCTCTTTTAGTAAGTAGAATTTTAAGTACGACTGTGGCAGCTTGCCAGGTCTTGCATTAGGTCTTAGCGCAGTCAGGCTTGGTGGGGACATCAAATGGTATTTAGCGAAGGCAGTTCAGGCCACTTGCAACCAAAGTGACTAACTTATACACACTTATATCATTTCGCACATTCACAGGAGTTTACAGGTCTTATCAAAGTGTAAGTTGTTAAATACATGGACTAGCAAAAAGGACCAGAGAAACTTCAAAATGCCTCTTTCTAGCCGAAAAGCGTCCAAATTCTCTGGGATCACGTTCAGACCAAGCGAAACAAGAATTTCGTCATTCTTTTGTAGGAGAAGTATCAAGCGTCTGTGGGAATACTTGTCGCAAGGCGGATCCCTCCTGAGGTCTTCCTTATGGGGAATGCGCGTCGTGTTGGGTCTTGGTGTCAAGGGGGGGGGGGCTCGCCTGGTAACAATCTGCGCCACGCGGCAACGCCTGCGGTCCTCATCCCCTTGATTTTAACGGGTTCCTGCGTTCACATGTCGCGCCCCGAAGGGTAGGGTCCCTGCGCTCCTGTCTAATCCTATAGCTTGTGCGAACGTACGTTTCCTTTCATATGTGACAATGCGGACAACCCAAGGGGGCTACATACTAACCAGTAATGAATTCTCAACTGAGCGCGTGCAACTACACATCAATCACAAAAGGATAATACATCAGTCATAAATAAAAACGTGCTTCGACACGTGGAAACAAAGGA